ATGTTGCCTTTAATGTCATCCAGGCTACTTTTTCTTGCAGTACATTTGAGGGAACGCTAGATGTTTACCTTTAATAATCCTAGATGAGAAATATATAAAAATTGAACAAGTTTTTAAAATTTTTTACAGTAAAAATGTAGAAATACATAAATAAATTTAGAAAAAAGTTACAGGCTCTTCAATATCATAAAACGTTTCTAGTAATTGCATGGAGATTGCAGAATAATCTGAATTAAAAATAACAAATTAATTGTGTAATTTGTAAAGTTTGAATATGGGTGTAAACAAAATCAAACTTTAACTCATGCAAGAAGAATATTATGTGATCTATAACTATAACAGAAGATGACTGTTATATAATTGGAGATATAAATAAACAAATGTACCTAGGTTAAATAGTCAAGATACAATGTTTTTAGAAATTCTCATTAATTTGCAATTTAAATTTTCTTTTTCACTGTTAATTTTTCTTCATAAAGATAAAAATTTTTGTAATTTTTTTTTGTTTTTTTGAGACAGGGTTTCTCTGTATTGGTTTGGAGGTTTCCTGGAACTTACTCTGTAGACCAGGCTGGCCTCGAAATCACAGAGATCCGCCTGCCTCTAGCTCCCAAGTGCTGGGATTAAAAGCGTGCGCCACCACGCCCAGCTGTCTAATTTTTTTGTAAGTAATTTCTCTCTAAGTAAAAATAAGCTCTAGCTTATTCTTCTCTACATGAGAAACTATTCAGAAACAATTTTATACCAATACACTGAGTAGTACTTATCTATTGCATTGAAAAAGCATTTACTATATTAATTTTATTAATGTTAGATTACAATGTAATATTTACAGGCTTATACTTTTATCATGAATGCGCATCTTAAAAAAAAACATTTTTTCAACCTAAGATATGCATCAGTTATTTACAACATATCTTGAATGCTGTCATGAAAAGTAAATATAATACTGTAGTAACTCACAGATGTAGAAGTCCTATCAAAAGATGTTACCTATGACTAAAAAGAAATATTTACATCATGGCCTATCATTAATACATCACAGAATTATGATTTATTTCTATTAATGTTCAATAAGCCTTACTTATCCCCATGGTTAATGAAGATTTTCCTTGAGATGAATAGCCAAAGTTAAAGATATTTTTTTTAAAGTACTACCAAATTACAAGTAATGAACATAATGTGGAAAAAAATTCTCAATGTTAAAAAATTGACTCTTAGAAATTTAATGGAAGTTTACAATGTTGTATTTACAAAAGGAACCCTGTTGCACTCTATCCATCTAGATAAGACTAGATGTTAAAATTTTGTATTTGACTATTTACAGAGTTGTCTTGAATATTGTCATGCAACCAGGAAACACATACAAAACTCTGTAGTGTCCCAAGAGGTAGTACAAAAATCTTCATGAAAGTTGACAAAAAGTAGAAAAAACAGGTGCTTCAGTAGGCTCATTACTGCTCAACAAGCCAACTGGATTACCTGCCATGTTAATGTACAACTCACATGAAAAAAATGGTCAACTATTCTACAATGAGAATAGAGTAAATGCATAGTATTTGTAGATTTCTTCTCTGGCATTCAAACAAATCGGAAAAACTGTGAGCTCCATGATGACCCCTTTTATAAACTATCAGTTTCTCATATTAAATGAAAAAGACAGTATTTACAACATATTTATAAGCATATAATCGCTAAGGTTCGATACCTCTAGAATTACTAGATGTTGACATAAAAGTATCTCATTACTTACAAGTTACATTTTTGTCATGTATCAGGTGAATACAAATTCTGATATATCTAGATCATTTGAATAAATAAATTTTATCAAAAATCTCAGAGACCAGAAAATAAAATGAAACCAAATGCCTTTTGAATAGCACACACAATGTTCAGGTAATTCAACTATCACACCAAAACATAAAGATAGATATTTTAGTACAAAAAAGTAAATTTCTTTTCTTATAATCAATATAAATTTAAAATTTAAACCATGAGCAGTCAATGTTTTAAACACAGCTATTAATACATGTGTTAACAGAGTCTCTCTCTGTTAAGTTTTTATAAGTTTTTAAAATATAACGTAACTACATACAGTTAAAACATTATGCTGAGATTTAGTACATTATATTCTACCACACACCGCATTAATCCTAAATTTTAAAACTAAAATATACTCAGAAAATGTAATCAGAATTTATACATATAGGCATATATAAATGTAAAGAAGCTCAAATAAACATATAAATTAAATTCAAAAATAAGAGGTTGATACTTCTAATGTTAAGATTGAATATATGTGTGTGTGTGTGTGTGGTATTTCCTGGAAGTTGGTGTTTCTACACATTCTATGCAGATTTACTTTCTTACTTCTGCACTAGTTAAATAAGGTCAGACCATATTTTTAAAAATGAATAAACACATCAGAAATAAGTTGAGAATTAGAGAGGATAAAAGTATTTATAATATGTTAATTAAACCTACAACTGTTATAATCCTCACAAATATTTACCAGAGTGAATGGTTAAATGTAGCTTACTTTACTGACAATCATTGATTTAATTACTAAAAACATGACTGACAGAAGCATGGAAGGTTCAATAACAGAAACATAGTGTTTGATAAGTGGAACCAACTAAATTTGTAAATCCAAAGTATGACATAGCAATTTTAAGATAAAAAAATAAAATGTTTGCCTTCACAATTCACAATGAACAACAGGAATAACACTGCTGTATCATACTACTTAATAAACCACATAATAGTTTGTGGTAACAACAAATTCTAAGCTTGTATCTTAGTGACTACTGTTTTATCTAAGTATAGAGAAATTTGTAAGTTAATAAGTATATAAAACTATATACATCCATGTAATTTGGGACAATCATACTCTTATCAAAGACTAGAAATGTAAAACAGAAATTATACATTTTATTTATAACATATCAAAACCCATATAAATGTTAATTTATAAACATGTGATACAAATATGAATGAAAAATAATTTGATATATACAAATATAGAATGCCACATGGCTTTGGATTAAAAATGATATTTGGGGACTAATATGGACAAAATAACTAAAAATTACTTGATGTTATATTCCTTGACTCAAGCTGATTTTCTGTCCAATCCTATTTTCATACATGGGGATTTTTGTGATTAAAAAGAACTCTGCATTTATATATAAAACACAATTGAAAATCATAAAAACTGAACAGAAATTTCTCATTAAATTTCTACCCTGTTGGATCTTTTAGGTACACAATGACACACTAGTACATTGTGCTTGTGGGGGGTGGGCTCTATAAGAATACTTTTTAAAATGCTAAAAAACTCATGGAGCTGATTTATGTTCATAGAAATCTCTATTATCATGAAGGCAATAATATTCTTTTGCATCTGATTCATCCACAAATCAAACCTGATACCTTTTTAATGAGGTCAAGCCATGTGAAATGCATCACATAGGACACTCTAAAAATGGTATCCTCTCATCTATTAAATCCTTTTCAACTTGTCATAAAAACAAGTCTAGAAATTCCTGAACAAGAAATGAAAATCATTTTAGTAATTTAATGATTTTGAAATGCAATCTCCATAAGATTAAATTAACATGTTCCATTATTCTATTACATGTAGATCAATGTAAAAGAATATTCTATCCTGGATAACAAAGTGATGTTTTTCCAGAATCCATCATGACAAAGAAATTTTCTGTTATACAGGTTAAAATAAGCTTCTCTGACAAACATTTAACCATGACTACCATAGTGATTATGGCACAAAGAAAGTACTCATCAAAAGGACAGGCACATTAATCCAATAAAATTATACTCTATACTACACAAATTCTACTTTTATTTTTTGAAATAATAGCCCCTTGTTTCTAACCTACCCAAATGTGAACATGAAAGAAAAACTTTAACACATACATTTTATCTAGGTATTTTTACTAAATAAACCAAAATTAAAGTACAATAAACTATGTTCTGATTTGACTCTGGTATGAAGTAAAACATAATACTTTATCAACAATCATCTTACATCTATTTCTGTGTTATCTAAATTATGCCAATGAATTACAATGTTTAACATGTTATATCAGTTTTTAAATTTACCATAACTTCAATATTTAGAGGTTTTTTTTACAATTGCAGGAGCAAATCAATCTACTTGTTGTATATAAGCAGATATGCAAAAATTCAATGGCAAATCTTACAAGGGCAGGAGTAACTGATACACAAAAAGAAAAGCTCAAGGACACTCACATGACAAAGAAATTAGTACAGAGATAGTCATCCAGATTCTGTCAAACCAATTGTCCCAAAATAGGAATTATTTTGTTGCAGCACAAAATAATTACTCACACTCAGATCAGTAGCCATAGAATTGTGAGGATAAGACTAACCTCTCTGAATTCATTCTCAGCATTCTGGTAAAATATCAAATTCCTATCTTACTCAAAATCAGTGAATGCCACTGGTGGGGGGTGCACGCCTTTAATCCTAGCACTTGGGAGGCAGAGGAAGGAAAATTTCAGTGAGTTTGAAGCAAGTATGGTCTACAAAGCAAGTTCCAGGACAGCCAGAACTGAATGTTACACAGAGAATTCCTGTCTTGAAAACCAAAGCTCAACACAAATACCTTACTAACATTCTAGTAATATCTCAATGTGGTAAATGGAAAAGCAGTCAGAATGACTAGGAACATGTTCAAGAAATTATCCCAAAGGGAAGAACTGGGTGACTAGAAGATCCACATTAACTTCAAAGGTCCTTTTCAAGTTTCTTTATTAAATGGAATGGAAAGTGAAAGCTACTATGTGATGGGAGTATAGAGGCACTTCAAATAAGGAAAAGTAAAAGGTCTAAAACAAATTTTACTATATTGGAAAAATCTACAGCTCCAGTCTCCTTGAAAAAAATTGTGATACCATGTTGCAATGACTTAAGTTTAAAAATTTTGTTACCTAAGTCATTAAACGGACACTTTGGCTAGACTTCAGAGTAACCATTTTGAGCCTTATTTCATCATGCTCAATAAACACAGCTCATCATAAATCCAGCCAAGGTCCTCTACAAGGTATTTACCAAAAACTATGTAAAAAATGGAATGTGGTATGTAGTCTCTTGGCACTGATGACATAGGAAAGACAGTGAGGTTGAGAAAAGAAACTCAAGCTATAGATGTATGGTTCACCGATAGAGCAATTGTGCCACATGACAAGATTCTGAGTTAAATTAACAACACAAAAACAATGTGAAGAGTGCAGGCTAAGTGTGTGGTTAGTACCCTAATGAGATATACAGGTGGTCCTGAGTTCAAGCCTCAATATCCATTCATAAATTCTCTCACAAAAACACACACATAAAATTTCACAAGATTTAAAAATACAGACAGTTGTTTTATCAAAGGACAAGATCCTATCATGAGAATCATTGATAAGCTTTATATAATAGAGAACTTGACAATGAAGTAAAAAAGAAATGATTCCTGAAATACAACTTCAGATTGCCACAAGAACACCATGACAGAGAAAGCTTTGGTGCCCATTATGAATTCACACCCGCATGCATGCACACACACTCTCTCTCTCACACACACACACTTAATGAAAGTGAAGAAATAAATAAGCCTGTATTCCCACACTTGGAAGCTTGAGGCAAGAATATTGTGACCTGGATGCCAGTTTGGCTAAATGACATAATGAAATCATGTTTCAAAAGGGAAAAATCACCAAAACCCACATCAAACCAAAAAGACAAAACACAAGCCAAAAAAAACCCCACACAAATACCTGACTCCTCCATTTCCCACTACAGAAGAAACTGTACTCATGGCCACTGAGTTCAATTTCCACTTAAAATGTAACTGAATAAATATGCAAATGAATAATAAATGCAGCGGGACAAACACATTGTTATCAATAGAATATGAGATCAAAGATTTTAGAATAAGAGATCAAAGATTTTAGAATAAGAGATTAAAGATTTCAAAACACTAGTCAATAATCATCCCTTCCCAGAAGTAAATCATTGAAAAAATTGATACGTGACAGAGAACTGCCTCCTACACCTACTGAGAACTCATTATCAAAATTAGCCATGATCAGTGATCATCTACTAACCCAAGATTAATTTACTATCATTCCTTTCCTTTTCTTCCCTTTTCCGTAGGCCTCCTTGTTCCTTGAAATTCAAAAACACTCAAAGTGTAATCACCCTCTAATTACTGAAAGAAAATAGAGTTCATCTGTCATTCCCTTGACAGTTAAGAGAATAAAATTATAAAATATTTCATTTAGGTGTTGTGGAATATTTTTTTACAACTGTATAGATATGTATTTGCCAAGGTATCTTCTGATTGGTTTTACAGAAAGAGGATAGGCATGACTTCTGGACAGAGAACTCTAGGAAGAACAGCGGAGTCATCAGCAGGGCAGAGGGATCAAGACGTGCAGGAGGGAAGGAAAGGTTCATGAGTCATGTGGCAACACATAGATGAATAAAAATGGGTTAATTTAAGTTATAAGAGCCAGAGGGATAAGCCTAAGCTATAGGCCAAGTTTTCATATTTAATAATAAGTCTAAAGGTCATTTTTTGTTAGCTGGCTTCCTGATATTTAGGATAGGTTGGTTAATGTATTTTAGGTATACAGGTCATTTCCTTAACAAAAAACTGTATTACTGATCCAGATGCTTAAACAAGCTATCAAGCAGACACAAAGGAAACAATTAAGGAAAGTGGCTACATCAAACACTGATTTTCAATGAAAAGCAGTGTCATGATGAAAAAGATGTCATATCCATGTGAGACTTCCACAAATATTATTTATTTCTAACCAGGCAGTGGTGTCACATGCCTCTGATTCCATCACTCAGGAGTCAGAGGCAGGTGGATCTCTGTGAAGTCAAGCCAGCCAGGTCTACACAGCAGGTATTAGAACTGCTGCACTAGAATTGTTACAGAGAAAAAAAAAAACCCTGTCTCAAAAACCAAAAAAAAAAAAAATAATTCCTTGATTCTAAGCAAATAAAGATGAACTGGCTATCCTGAATTAAGTTTACACAATTTCTGATTTATATTTGAAATTACTAATGCTCTTATGAATTCTGCACAAAGTTACCTACTTACACTACTCTAAGCGTACCCTATGACTAGAACATTGTAGCTGAATGCAAAAGTGTTAATATGTTTGGCAAGCATTTTAAATGAATTCTTGACATTTTACCACTGACTAAATTTTTTTACAAAATGTTGTTATTAACAGATACCAAACATGGCTCTAAGAGCCATGATGGTGTTGTATACTTTAATTAAGGTTCTTACTACTTGATTTATTCTACAGTCCATGAATACTTGTGTAATTTATTATGCTAGTTTGATGTAGTCTTATTACCTGGTTGGCCTAGAGTTTACTATGTAGACCAGGTTTAACTATAATTTGTATTAATATTCTTCCTTTTGTCTCCAGAGTACAGGATCAAAGGTATATCCTAAAATACCCAGATAAATGTACAATTTTAACTATTATTATTTGAAACAACAATGCATAAAGCTACTTTACATATAAGTCAGGTAAGGGAAAAATACTGAAATATCCTGGTGTGCAGAGGTGTGATCTTCCAAAGTGAAAGCTAGAAATAAGGCAGAGTAGGTAAGGTGAATGGTACTCGGGTGTGGTAGACTGTCTGTGGTCCTACCACTAGAGGCAATCTCCACATCAAGCTAGTTAGTGAGGTAGACTATCCAAATCAGGAACTTTCAGGTTCAAATAAGATACCCCGTCTCATTCTATAATGTGGAGAGCAAAGAAAAGATGACACCTTTGTCCTTAACATGAGTTGGCACTAACATACATATAAACATAGTTTCTGGAACATACACATGCATAAAGACACATACGAACACATGTGAAACGGGACATCACTGTGAATCACAGAAAAATGTCAACCTACTACTAACATTAACATATTTGGAAGTTGCTTATTCCAACAACACACATGAGTGATTTGAATGTTATCAAAACTTCAGAGTGAGCCAGGCATTGGTTGCGCATGCCTTTAATCCCAGCTCTCCGGAGACAGAGGCATAGGATCTCTGTGAGTTTGAGACAGGCCTGGTTACAAGAGCTAGTTCCAGGACAGCTTCCAAAGCCACAGAGAGACCCTGTCTCGAAAAAATAAAAACAAAACAAAACAAAAAAACTTCAGAGTGAAATCCAAAAGCAGGGTTGAATGAAACAGCAAAAAAAAAAAAAAAAAGAAAAAAGAAAAAAGAAAAAATCATACATGAAACAAAGAAGCATTAAGTTTCAGTCTTTTATAAATTGCCACCCACATCCCAAACGCCAGAAACCACTACTCTCAGGCATGTGCTGTTGTTCTATGGTCAAAGGTACATGCTGCAAAGCCTAACAATCTGAGTTCAATACCATGGATCACTCTTGTTATTTCTTGTAAACTTTCATAAATATTTCAGCAACTGGATCTATAATACTTCCTACTTAACTTTGTTTCTTCATTAGTGGATGTAGTCTTGTGCCTTTAATTTCTAGGTTTCTTTTTAAGTAAAAGTTCCCTATCTCTGTAATCAAGAGAATGCTCTTCACCCCAGTAAACTTAAATGACAATTATTGTTTTTTTCACATTACAAAGATTGCTAAAACACTGCTACAAATGCATTAATAATATAAGTTATAAGGTAAAACATACAAAATATAGGCAAATATTAAAGCATTGTAGGAATAGCCAGCTTTAACATTAGAGTATGGACTCAGTTACCAAATAGTCATGGATTCTTAATACTCTACTGGATATATATAACACTTAAAACACTTTCTGACATAGAAAATTTCTAATAACTGCTACATTTATTCAATAAGTAATAATATGGTAACATTTGTTATGATGGTATCTGACCAGCTTAATCAGATGTAGAAATTAGAAGAAGAGGCTCTTGCCATACTCACCGCATTCCACAATGTACATCCTCTGTAAACATTACCCTTTCCTCCTGATTGATAGCACTTACAAATCCAGAATGATTCATTCCATTTTTCAAGACTTTGGAGTTCCACTTTTACACATTCTTATTTCCATATCAACAGGTGCCTATGTCTTTTGTGATCCATGGACATTTCATGTTTTGCTTTCAACAAAATACAAAATGCAGAAACAAATTATCTCAAAACATTTATGAAACAATATTGAAGAATATGGAAAAGTGCAATACTGTATTTTCCAGGTTTGAGAAGTTCTCACATCCCTCACGATTATTTGCTTTCATTTTTTTTTCCATAATGACTATTTGCTTTCATTATGAAGACAATATCTTGTATGCAACATATGGTGGCATGGAGCTTGTAATCATCACCTCAGCCTCAAGTGCTGGGATTACAAGTATGTGCCACTATGCCCATCTAAACAAATATTTTCTATTGAGAGTTATAAGCAATAATATATAGTGAGGCACACTGACTAGATTTCAGAATTTTTCAAGCTCATTTCTTTAAATCATTATGGTCAGACAAGGTCCTTTGTCATCATAAACCTAGTCAAGGCCTCTGTAAAATGCTCTTTTTTATCAAAAGATTACATTACCTTGTATGCTTTATGTTTCTGTCTTAAATGCAGCTATTAGTATTTACAGTCTTGTTATAATACTACGGGGTGGTATTCAGTCTCATGAAACTTCATAACATTCTTTGATGAAATTCTTTTCAGTCATCAACTATATTGACAAAAGGACATCACATGAGACTGAAATAACATAAAGATAGATATATACTGTTTCAGGGTTAGATACTGTTCTACAAAACAAATAAATAGCACACCTTAATACATAATATAAAATCCATATTCTGAGATGACACATAAACATGAAGTAGAATGCAATAATGAATGAGAATCAAAAACAAAACATCAATTTCTAAATTTTAACAATTTCATCTTTTTAAAATAACTAGATTATAGACACAGTAACAAGACTTGAAAATTTCTAGGCATGTACTTCATATTGTCTTATCATTTTAAAAATTGACTCTCTACCTCTAATGTCCCATCCAAGAAACCAGTTCCCAATATATTAATATCTGACTTCTAAGAACAATGGAGAGGTCCTAATTAAGGTCTAATATGCTGAAAGTTTCCATAACTTCCAAATTCTTTTTTGAGCCATGGTATCACCTATTAATGGCTGTCTGGTAACTAAATATACAGCCATGAACCTGAACAACTTACTAATCTCTGACTTTGTTTCCTAATGCTGGGGTGTACCAATGCAACTTATTTATGTTTCCAGAAATAAAACTCATGACTTCATGCCTGCTAGGCAAACTGTTCTTTTTTCTAGCTTTGTACATGGGTTTCTTCACTTTTTCCCATAATAAACCCCCATATGCTCCGCTAACGAAAAAATTAATGAGCTGGTGGTGGTGAATGACCTCAATCTCAGCACTAGAGAGGCATAGGTTCAAGCTAGCCTGGTCTACAGAGTGAGCAGGATAGCCAGGGATATATAGAGAATCGTGGGAAAAAAAGTGAAAAAGAAAAAAAAAGGAAATTTAAATGATCCAAAACAAAGATATTTATGCAGACACAGGTAATCAGTGTGCATACTAATCTGAGAATATTTTAGGAAACATGCACTCATTAAGTATTATGATGAGGTAGGGAATGCTAGAAATGTCTGTCATATTAGCACTTAAGAGGATGAGGAAGAAGAGCTTATGGTCATCTTTGCCTATAAGGAGTTTGAGATCAGCCCAGGTTACATGAGATCCTGTATCAAATTCTTCTGAAAGAAAAACGTAGGATGACTTCTTACATATCAGAAGTATATGGAATCTTGAAAACTACCATGTGAATTCATATTTCTAATCTGTGTAAATCTTACTAACATTTTATAGTAGTCTATAATACAAATTATCACCAGTAAACAGCACTCTTGAAATTCCCAGAAAGTTATAGGCAAAAAAGAATGGCACTTCCACTAGCGAAACATCTTTTTAAGATGAGCATCTTACAATCTAGGTATCTTATAATTTATTTTCTAACTTGCAAAGAAAGGTGGAAGGTTGCCTTTAGTCCAGGAATCAGAAAATAGATTTTTTTTAAATGTGCTGTTATCACTCAATCCCAAATCCAAGAGCCTCCTGTTACCAGCTTTCAGAACATGGGAGATGGCTTAATTAGCCAGACCTCCAGAAAGAACAGCAAAGCTACATACATGAAATTTCACAAGACCCCACACAGATGAAGAACTATCACTGACTAATGAAAAAGGAAGAATCAGTTTACCTCAAGAAAAGCAACAATATTTTACCTAACGCCACATGATGAATCTAAACAGATGTATATATAAGAAACAAAATGGAACCAGTAAACCTTTTTTTTTTTGCTTTGGGGTGTGTGTGTGCGTGCGTGCGTGCATGCGTCCGTGTGTGCGTGCGTGCATGCGTGCATGTGTTTACAGATGGTCAAGAAATGGAGCATGCTTGAAGTACATGAGAAGAACTAAGTGGGAAGGAGTGGTGGAAATGATGAAAATTCTACAATCATGTATTAGACTTTTATTTTAATTAAAACCAGAGAATTTACTCATTACCATTAGAAACATCTTCCCACTATAAAATAACTATTGTTGATAACTAATTCAAATTAAATTTCTTTACTATGATTCAAAGACAGCTGCTTTTCTCAATACATCTGGTGAATGCTACACGAGTGGTGATGACAGATATATCCTTAATATGAAATTTAGAGTGCTATATGCTTATATCAAGCATGCACAGCCTTGTTTCCCAATGCCCAGTCATTGACCCTTAGACTTACCATAATTGATTTCATTCCTAGATCAGGTCTTTCATACTCTATGGATTACAAACAATTGTAAAACCTGATCAATAAAGTAATACCATTTTCAAAAGTATTAGCTTGTATTCCAAATTTTTAATTAATGATCATAATAAAAAACATGCTACTCTCATAATTTAAGTGAATTTAATTATCTGATTAACTATTTCCACATATCTTTAAATGTGACATATTAAAGTGACCACAGTGCCATGTGAATATTAGCAAATCACATTCTTCACTTTTCCTTATCTTCAAGATTTTGACCAGTAAGTTAATGCATGAAATAAATGTCAGGAATTGGGAAAAAATTTCACAACCATTTTATCCTAAGATAACAGCTTGAGTAAACTACATGTCTACATTTAACTCTTTTACAATAATTTCACACAGAACACATTAAGGTTCACTCTGACTCTAACAAAATTGACAAAGGAAAACCTCAATTCAATTGCTCTATGCATTTATTAGCTATAATTAATGCAGTAAGGAGGGGTCAAAAAGCTTGCAGGCTACACAATTTCACAAGACGCAATGCAGGGGAAAGGAAAGGCTGATTTTTCTCAACCATATCTTAGGGTCTTGGTGGACGCATTCCTGGGGGAGGTGGGCCTAGAAAGGAAAAATAACAAAATTCCATTAAAGTTATCATGAGTATATAAATATTAAAGGATCTGGATGGGATTCCCAGATCCTAACATGCCACTAACCTCTAATTCCTGGTGGTGGGGGTCTCATTCCTGGAGGGGGCATGCCTATAGGTGTTCCTGGATTCGGGGGAAGGCCAATTGGTGGGCCCATGGGTGGTCTCATACCAGGTGGAGGAGCCATAATTCCTGAGAAAATGACAGCCATAATTAATCCCTTTGTAAGTCAGCTCAGTAAATAAATGATCTTATGATTTAGCACAAAACAGTGGTTAATGAAATAAGCAGAGATTGTGAACAAGAAATGATGTTCCTTATACTTCAATACCAGAGTGTCAACCTAATTCCAAAGATTCTATTATCTTTCATTTATATCTAGCAATGTCAATTCAAACCCTGTCATCTAAAATGGTAATCTGGAAGAAAGGTGCACTGGTACACACTGGTGGAAAAGACTGTGGGAGAAGCTAAACATTACTTGGTTGTATTTAACTTTCACTCCTTGAGTTGGAACCTGTCCCAGACAAAGCTTCTTAGATGACAAAGAATCTGGAACTAGATAGGCCATGAACCTAGGGCAAACAAAAGGAATGTAGCAATAATTAACACTCTACTATACGCATAGATCAGTGACTTGCTCAACCAGTATCAGAGAAGCTTCCTCCTCCTGTAAATGGAAACAAATTTAGAGACCCATAGGCTGACAATGTGCAGAGAGACCTTGGAATATTCAGTCCTAAATGGGATGCCTCCACCAAATCCTTCCCTTGGGCCATAGGGAACTCTACTGAAGACGAAGAAAGAGCTTGTAAGAGTCAGTGAGGATACAAGACACCAAGGAAACAAGGCCCTCCAGACACAACAGAACTGAGGAAGATGAACTTAGAGATAGTAGCAACATCTAGAACCTGAACAGGTCTAAGCCATATGAGAGTACCAGTACTGAGAGAAGAAGTAGACACAAGTCCTCACACGTAACCCAGAAGCTATTCCCAATGGATAATCACTTGCAAAGGGAAAAATGAAGATTCTCAATGTATATACAAGCCACTCTTAGAGACAGGCCCCATTCCCAGCAGTAGATGGTGACACAAAGCTGACTCAAATATTTTTGGAGGTGTTTTGTCTCATAAGGCTTTGTCTAAATATTAATAATTTTTAACTTTATAGATCTTTTGGTTATATATTATGGTTTCTGACTTTGTTTCTTATGAGTTTTTTTATGTTCACAAATGTGTTTTTGGTATCTATGTATGTTTCTTCTGCTTTTAATTTAGTTCTTTTTTCTATTTTTTTTAATCCTAACCTGGTTTATTTGGTTTTAATTTACCTTAGTTTACTTAATTACTATTTTCTGATGCCTGCTCATATTCTAATGAGAAAGGAAAAACGTCAAATTGGGTAGGTGGGGAAGTAGGGAGGTGGTGGGGGAGGGGAAACTATAATCAGAATATATAAGCAAATCTATTTTCATTAAAAAATAAATAATAAAACTAGGAGCATAGTTCTTAAATTCTTAGCAAGGCCAAGAAATGACGCCTTATCTCTTACAAAGTACTTTGAGATGGAATTTCTTCAGGATGATAGAATCTCTTAGAAATCCAAATCATTATCATAAAGCCCTTACCTGGAGGTGGTGTTGCTCTGCCTACAGGTGGAGGAGGTGTCCCACGCCCTGGTGGGTACTGTGTTGGAGCTCCAGCAATGCTGGCAGTGGCAGCAACTGCAGCAGCTGCTACAGTGCCTCTTCCCTGTGGAGTCATGACCTGAAAAGTTAGGCCAAAAACACAAAGATGAGGAATACTCATCTCTAATAAATAAACAGAATTAGTGAGTATGTCCTATTACAAATATGTGTCTTGTACTTATCTTACTCTAGTTTGAAGTTGAAGAGGAATAAATCCAGGAGTTTAACCATGCTAAAGCATGCATTCCTGCTGAGTTAGTTATTGGGCTCTGATTTGTTTTGTGGCATGGCTGTTAGTTTCTTTAGCTGTTTCTTATTTTTAAAACACTGTCTATATAGTCCTGGCTATCCTGGAAGTCAGAGATCTGCTTCTCTCCAGAATCCAGAAATCAAAGACATATACTAATACATCTACCTTCACCCTCATGTTTTTAAATCTTGGCATGTTACCATTTCATAAGCTTTTGAATTTTCTCAACCTGGCATTCACTGGTATACTCCTTATACATACGTGAGTTATCAGAATTTTCTACAACATATACAACTTAATGGTATAGATACACACTTATGTTCCCACATTTCCTCAGTTCTAGGTTCTAGTCATATTTTGCCATTATTAGAAAACCGTGTTCTGGTCCTACCTGCTGGGATGGACCTCCAACTCCTCGGACAGGACCTGCTAATCCAGCAGGAGCTTGTGGAATAGGCACACCAGCTGGTACTCCTCTGCCAGCTGCCCTCCCAACCCCAGGGCCACCTGCAGCTCCAGCAAGTGGAACACGAGCAATACCAGTCTGAAACAAAAAACATGTATCTTAAACAATATGTCTACTGTTTAAATGTGAGTGATTTTATTCAAAGGAAACATGGTACAATCCTAGCTCCTATTAGCTTCAAATACAAATAAATATGATGGTATAATACAATAGATACTCTGTAGTCCCCTTCAGATTTAGAATACCTAATATCAGATCGTAAACTTATATCCTTACTTAAAAAGTCAACTCCTTGACTATCATCTTACCCCCCCAAAATTGACTTATACCTTCTGTATTTGCAGTTCTCATATTCACTTTACCTTGTAATAGAAGTAGCATGTTGTTGCCAGAAATATTAGCATTGCTTTGGGCACATTAAGCATGTCCTTTCTGAAGACACCAGAAGGGAGAAATAAAGTACACAGACCAAGTCTAAACTTTAGTACATTTCCATGCAGATTTATGCACATGTGAGAAGGTGTCTAGTTTGTCCAGTGATTATTCTTTAGATTTGGACCACTATATTTGTGTTTGCTAATCATTTCCCATAGGCGAAAAAAAAAAACCCTGTAAAAATGTTATACCCTAAGTAGGGTAACATAATATGAAACATTTCATTTTTAAAAAAGTTCACTCCTTATAACTTAGGGAGTACCCAGCATACAGGTCAAATCATGAATAACTCCTTCATTCCTAAAGATACAGCTGAAGCAATTACTTAAAGTACTAGGCTCATTATGATTATATATAATTTGTGTGTCTCTACTGTATAGTGATAAGACAATCAAGCAACATGTATATTGATAAGACATTCAAGCATGAAGTATCATCCACTTGCTGGATTTGCCCTTTATGTATGAATTAAAAACAAAGATAAAAAACATGTAAATCTTGCCCTACATATTCCTTACATCTTTAGGAGGTGGACCCTCCACAGTCATGGATACCAAGTTCTCTCCACGTAGCAAGACCAGACCCAAAACCCGCTTTTCTTCACGCTCTGGCTGTTTTGCATTCTTTGGCCTAAAAATCAGAAGTCAATAAACATCAGTATGTAAATTTTTGTGATCTTTACTTATCAATGGTATCAAGACAAAATCTGGTGCTAAGTTTCTCATGTAGACAGTGATTTATTTGCCTAATTACTCTGTGAACTTAATTACCATGCATAAATAGTACAATTATTTTCCTAAGTATGTTCCCTTGACATTATACAAATACCCAAAATAATCTTCTGTTTCAAAATATAGATGTAAATGGCACGACAAAGCCCTTTAAGGTAGGTAAACCTGAAGCTTCAATTATACTAAAATTACAAGTGCATTTGAAGTAATTATAACCAAATAATATTGACTTCAGACTATTTGACAAAGTTTTAATTTCACCAACATCCTTTGCATGTATTGACATAGATATAACAATATAAGGATCTGATCTAGTCCTGAACAGACAAGGTAAGACAACAGAATGGCAATATTAGTCTTTGTATCACTTCAATCACCCTATGTAATCTTACTCCAGCTCAAGTCTACCTACTGCTCCTGCCTCCCCATTCAAGCCCAAACAAGCCTTACTTGATCTTCCGGAACTCATCACAATCACAGAGGATCAAATTCATATGCTTGTCAAAAGCCTTAAAAGTGCCAATGAAGATTCTTCCATCTTGCAGGATACATCTCATTCTATAGTCAATGTGCTGCAGCATCTTGCTACTCTTACCCACAGTCTGCAAATAGTAAAGGAACATCAATGGTAAGCTCATCTGTAGCCAAGTTTTCTGCTTGCTTATTACATATATCTACAAAAATGTTTCTTTAATTGGTTCCCTTTATTCCTCTGTATTTTCTAAATCCTGAAATATCAAAGTGACTAAGCACCACTTTAAATAGTTCTGTACTTCTCAGAACCCTAAGTAAGGACCTATCCTATCTAATAGAATTATAAAATTTATTCCTAAGATGGAAACCCCTCAGCCTAGTTTTCCTTTAGACTTGCTAAAGACAATTGTCATGCTTTCCTTCCACTAAATGGCTAAATGACCATAAACTTCAGAGGACCTGTACTCTAAACTATTCTTGTAAACCTAAAAAGACTACCACAATAAAAATGATGCATACCACCAACTCAATGAATTCATGATTCCCCATTAGCTCTCACTCCAAAGGCTGCCAGAATCCATCATACCCACATCACCATTACTACAATCCTTATAATTTTTGTAGACCAGGAACTAAGGAACAAGACTGGCATTGAACTTGTTAAAGAAGATGATGAGCCTGAGCTCTTATTCTTCCTCCTTCTCCCAGGTTTTTAGGTCTCAAACACAACACTTGGCATTGAAAGTAACATCTTTTCCCTTGCTAATCTGTGTCATACTTTCAGATCCACAGTATGCCAGATTTAGGAAAACCTCCCCTTATCTATCTTTATTTCTGTGTTAATTAAATAAAAAGCTGGTATTTCCAAGTATTCTGTGTATGTTCTGCAACTGGATCTAAGAATCCTCTCCATCTAAAGTTGTCTCTTAAGGTGATACTCATTGACTGAAAACAAAATGGTAAGACATCCTTCATCCTTCAGTATACTTTCAAAAGCTTTTGATCACCATTATCAAGAAAAGGACAGGCCATCTCTTAACTGTTATACAATACATCTCTATGGATGATTCCTATTTCAAAATGTTAGTACCTAAAATACTGTACACAATGAAAAACTATGACTTAAGGTCATTATAGCAGATATTCAACTTACCATGATTGCTGGTCCACAACAGCCACTTAACAGTAAAATTTCAAGATCCTTAATACTGTGGGGAAGGCTATAAATAAAGGTGTGATACAGGTTCACTTTGACACAAGGTAAGCTTGATTGAAGCGTCACAGACAATGGATGGGTTCTATAGAAGGAAGAACATTTGTAACTGTACCTTAGTCTATGGTTTAAAAATAAACAATTTTCTAATAGTGTATCTTCATAAATACCTGTGCTCTCATATCTAACAATTTCAGCCCTCGCTGTCTTAATATTCATTTCACCCATGAGATCTGAGACCAATTGGCTACCAGTATTGCAAAAATTCCTGGGTGTATATTTTAGTGGATGCATTTAGAGGTCAGATATCAATGCTGTCGTCCTTTCTGGCTACTGTGTAAATGCAGAGCTTACTTTAACCTCCAGAAATCCACCTGTCTTACTTTCTAACAGTGATATTACAGATTTCATCTTTAGCCTGGTGCTCAATGTCAGAAAATGACACTGAATCCCTAGGAACTAAAGTTGCAGCTAGTTATGATCCTCCATGTGGGTGCTGGGACTGAACCCCGGTCTTCTGCAGAAACTAAAGAGCTATCCTGCAAATCCCTGTTACCACAATTTTGTGTGAGTGTTTAGGAAATCAGGTCTTCTGTCTTGCAAGGAAAGTCCTTATCAACTGACCATCTTTCTAAAACTCATTAAGAATCAAATATTTATTTTTAAAATATTGAAATATTTTCAAACCACTACACATATTTCATAAACAACCTACACCTTTTCGTTCCCAAAATTTATTAGTGTCATATTTACTTGTTTGTTCAAAATCTACTTTTTGGCCTACACGTTTAAATTGTAGGCTCCCTCTTCAAAATCAAGATAATCTTTTCCTAACAACAAATATGTATGACCATAAGAAGCACAAACTGTAGAATGTGATCTCTGGAATATGATTGTAATCAGAGTGTTCAGAATGCTGAAGCAGAAGTTCAATAGCTGGATGACCCAATTTCAGGACAGCCAGAGCTTTTAATGTCTCAAAAAAGGTAAATGTAAAATACAATAAATCGCTTTGAATGTAGGTTTCTTATAGACACTGATTGCATGCTAAAGCATAAAAATTTTGCAAATATTTGCTTGTATTTCTTTCTGCCTAGCCTAAAATTTGATCCTTTTCCTTAGCCTTCTGTGTGTTAGGATGGATTACAAGGACACTCTGCTCAGATTTAGCCATTAAGTTTAAATGAGAATCTGAAGTTAAACATATGAGAGTAAATACTGTTTCTTTAAAAAGCAGAAGAGGTTTCACAAAGCCTAAGCCTTCCTTGAACCTGCAACTATCTTATTTTATCTCAGTCCCTCTGCTGCTCCAGGAATTAAATCCCCGTGCAATCCTAAAAACAAACTGGAATAACAAGAGACAGACAGAGCATCCTGGAGCAACGGGAATTACAACTCACACTAAAATTATCTGAATAAGTCATACTAAAAGCTTGATAATTCAATGTTTATAATATACATTGTTTAAAAACCAATTTAATTAGAGTTACCAGGAGATGATTTTCCTCACAGAAGCCACATTGTATCAAACTGTCAGGTGTGAAAAATCTCCCTTTGGGTTAGTGCAGTGTGGTAGCAGACCCCAGCCTCAAATAATATAGGCCAATGCAATTGCTTTATGTTTCCCAGCAGAATTTGATGACAAGCCCCTATTGTCATCAAATTGAAGATATCATGTAGTCTATGTGCATATAATCAAAATATCAAACTGGAACTGAGCCAGAAGCTTCCCAACTGTCAGAAGGTGCAATGCAGGAAGCTGTAGGTTAAGGTAGTCTCATCTATTTTTGAACCCTTTGATCTAAATAACAAAACCCTGGTAATATATGACCACTGGTACAATGGTGGCATTGATGTTAAGGGAGGTAACCAGCAGCATTCCAATTTAAATGTAGAAATTTTGAAAATTGATTAATTCAATTTTTCTACCTTTTTGAGACTCTGTTTACATAGCACTGGCCTGCCTGGAATTCATACTGTAAATCCACCTGTCAATGCTTTCCAAGTGCTTGAACTGGAGGCATGCAAGATCATGCCCAGCTAAATGGAGAGATGGTTCACTGGGGCTGTGAGCTCCTGCTATGATTTCACAGAGGACCCAAGTTCAGTTCTTAAAATCCACTTGGGAATTTATTACTGTCTCCATATCTAACTCCAGACAATCTTGCTGCCTTCTCAGCCTCTGCAGTTTCCTGAAAACACATGTTTATTTTAATAAATAACTGGAGCTAAGACTCACTCCTGGTACTAAAATCTGGACAGAAACCTTATAGCTGAGGAAAATACTATGAGGAAAGCTACAACTATTGTTAAATTGACATAGTATCAGACTGCTCTCTAAATATTTAACCTTATACCCACAGATTAGTTCATTTCTCATCTCTTATCAGAAGCTTCTTTATACAGTATTTGGTAGTTAATACATTTGTAATTGGTCAAAGTGCATAAAATAAATGATAATGGAATGCTCAGTCCTAAATCTTATCATACACCTACCACACAGTCTAAGAAGCAATCACAGAAGGGGTAGAAAGATTATGACCTCAGAGTGCTTCTTGGAAATACTGTCTTCAGTACATGACAGGGTTTTATAATTATGAACTCTCATAGTAAATATAGTCCCTGCACAAAACTTAGTCAACATTCCAACAAGGATGGAGCAGAATTAGAAGGCTCCATACTTTTCCTTACACACAATTGGCATTTAAAAACTAGTGGAAGTGAGGATGTCAGTTTACTTCACTGATGTATCTTACAGCCCAAATCCCAATGGTTAGCACTATATGAACACAGTAAGTTATTTAAAATTATAAAAAATGAGAACAGTTACTTAAAAAAGGAAGACCTGACAGAAGGTTCAAGAGAAGTTAAACAGGAAGCGTTGTGACTGGATATGATTTAAATACACTGTACACATATATGAAGATAGCAAAGAATGCTGGACATAGTGTCACATGCCTTTAAGCACAGCACTTTCGAGGTAGAGAGTAGAGGTCGGAGTCTGAGGACAATCTGGTCTACATAAAAATGTCCTGATCAGTCATACCAACATAGTGAGTATGTGTCTAAAGATAAATTATGAAAGAATAAATAAATGAAGAGATTACTCAGCAGTTAAGAACAGTGGCTGCTCTTCCAGAGGACCCAGCTTCAATTTCCAGCACCTACATGGCAGCTCACAAACATCTGTAACTCCATTTCCAGGAGATCTGATGCTCTCTTCTGTCCACAAATGGTACATAGACATACATGCATGCAAAACACCATAAACATAAAATAAACTTTTAAAATAAAGAAATAAAACAGCATGTGTTATGGCCCACACTTTTAATCCCCGTACTCTGGAGGCAGAGTCAGGCAGTTTTGTTAGTTCAACCCCACCCTGTTCTACAAAATGAGTCCTAGACGAGAAAGGGTGCAAAGTGAGATCCTGTGTGAATAAATAAATAAAACTTGAAAAATAACTCTAACATAACAGTATATGCCTGTTAATTTCACCATTCAGCTCATAAAGGCAGGGAGAGATAGAACCGAAGGCTTTCTTGGCCAGAGTGAATCCAGAGTTTGCAAACTCAAAAACACAAAAAGGGCAGATGAAGTACATGGAGAAGAAGCATGCTAAATATAAATATAATTATGTGAAAATGTTCAAATAAAGTAGTTTGGGGCATAGAGATGTCTCAGCAGTTAAGAACACTAGTTTATCCTCCAATGTACCTTAGTTTAATCCCTGACAACTTGATGTCTCACAGCTATCTCCAACTCCAGTTTCTAGAAGATCTGATGCCCTCTTTTATACTCTGTGTGCACATGCTGCCCAGATATGCAGGAAAAACATCCCATATATAATGTTTTATAATTAAAAAATTAGGGCCAGGTGGTAATGGCACACACTTTTAATACCAGCACTAAGGAGGCAAAGGT